CACACAGAGTTCCAAGCAAGATGAACCCCAGAAGACCCACAGCTAGACACATCATAATAAAAATGGCAAACATTAAAGACAAAGAAAGAATCTTACAGGAAGCAAGAGAGAGACAGAAAGTTACCTACAAGGGAGCTCCCATTAGACTGTCAGCTGATTTCTCAATAGAAACACTGCAGGCCAGAAGGGAGTGGCAGGAAGTATACTAAGTAATGCTAGGCAAGGGTCTGAATCTAAGACTATTTTATCCAGCAAGACTATCACTGAAAATTGAAGGAGAAATAAAGAGCTTCACAGATTAAATAAAGCTAAAGAAATTTACAACCACCAAACCAGCACTGCAAGAAATGCTGAAGGGACTGTTGTAAAAAGAAGAAACAGAGAGAGAGAGAGAGAGAGAGAGAGAGAGAGAGAGAGAACACAACACAGGCATAAAATTAAAAGGGCACCCTGGCCAGTTTGGCTCATCAGTTGGAGCGTCGGCCTGAGGACCAGAGAGTCCCGGTTTCGGATCCCCCTAGGGGCACGTACCAAAAAAGAAAAAAAATTAAAATGGCAACTAATAACTATCTATCAATAATAACCTTAAATGTAAATGGATTAAATGCTCCAATCAAAAGACATAGACATAGAGTAGCTGACTGGATAAGAAAACATGATTCATATATATGCTTTCTACAAGACACCCATCTCACAACTAAAGCCTCGCACAGGATAAAAGTGAAGAGATGAAAAAAAATTTTCCAAGCAAATGAAAATGAAAAAAAGGCTGGTGTAGCAACACTCATATCTGACAAGATAGTCTTCAAAACGAGGGTCAAAATAAGAGACAGAAAAGGTCACTACATAATATTAAAGGGATCAATCCAACAAGAGGATATAACACTGGTAAACATATACGCATCAAATAGGGGAGCAACAAAATATATTAAAAAACTTCTGGAGGACTTCAAGGGAGAGATCAATAGCAATACGATCATAGTGGGTGACTTTAACATGCCACTGACACCACTGGATAGATCTTCTAGACAAAGAATTAACAAAGACACAGAGTCCTTACAAGACGAACTAGATCAGTTGGACTTCATTGATATTTACAGAACATTTCACCCCAAAGCTGCAGAATATATATTCTTCTCAAGTGCATATAGAACATTCTCAGACAGACGACATGTTAAGACACAAAGCAAATCTCTAAAATTCAAGAAGATTGAAATTGTATCAAGCACCTTCTCAGATCACAGTGGCATGAAACTAGAACTCAATTACAATAAACACACACAAAAACATTCAAACACTTGGAGGCTAAATAGCATGTTACTAAATAACAAATGGGTTACTATTGAGATCAAGGCAGATATTAAAAACTTCCTGGAAACCAATGAAAATGATCACACAACAACACAAAATCTATGGGACACAGTGAAAGCAGTCCTGAGAGGGAAGTTCACAGCACTACAGGCCTACCTCAAGAAACAAGAAAAATTCCTGATTGACTCTCTAACCCTACAACTTAAAGAACTAGAAAGTAAACAAAAAGAAAAACCTAGAGCTAATAGGAGGAAGGAAATAGTAAAGGACGGAACAGAAATAAACAACAGAGGCCAAAAAAACAATTCAAAAGATCAATGAAACAAAAAGCTGGTTCTTTCAAAAGATAAACAAAATCAATGAACCTTTAGTCAGACTCACTAAGAAACAAAAAGAGAGAAATCAAATAAACAAAATCAGAAACAAAAGAGGAAAACTAACAACTGACACCACAGAAATACAAAGGAAAATCAAAACATACTATGAACAATTATACACCAATAAGCTGGACAATCTAGAAGATATGGACAAATTTCTAGAAACACACAGCCTCCCAAAACTGAACCAGGAAGAGACAGAAAACCTGAACAGACCAATAACAACAACAAAGGAAATTGAAGATGTAATTAAGAAACTCCCAGCAAACAAAAGCCCAGGCCCTGGTGGCTTCAAGGGGAGTTTACCTAACATTCAAAGAAGATCTAATACCCATTCTCCTCAAACTATTCCAAAAAATCCAAGACGGAACACTTCCAAACTCATTTTATGAAGGCAGCCTAATCCTAATTTCAAAACCAAATAAAGACACTACAAAGAAAGAAAACTACAGGCCAATATCCCTGATGAACACAGATACCAAAATCCTTAACAAAATATTAGCAAATCGGATCCAGCAATACATCAAAAAAATTATTCATCATGACCAAGTGGGATTCATCCCAGGGATGCAAGGATGGTACAATATTCTCAAATCAATAAATGTGATACACCATATAAACAGAATGAAAGATAAAAAACCATATGATCATATCAATAGATGCTGAAAAAGCATTTTACAAAATCCAGCACCCATTTCTGATAAAAATGCTCAGCAATGTGAAAATAGAGAGATCATATCTCAACATAATAAAAACCATATATGAAAAACCTACAGTCAACATCATACCAATGGGCAAAAACTAAAAGCATTCCCCTTAAGAACAGGAACAAGATAGGGATGCCCACTTTTGCCACTCTTATTCAACATAGTACTGGAAGTCTTAGCCACAGCAGTTAGACATGAAGAAAATATAAAGGGGATCCAAGTTAGAAAGGAGAAAGTGAAACTCATTATTTGCAGATGACATGATATTATACATAGAAAACCCTAAAGACTCCATCAAAAATCTATTAGAATTCATAAATGAATTTGGCAAAGTAGCAGGATACAAAATTAACGTCAAGAAATCAACGGCATTCTTACACACCAATGATGAACTCATAGAAAGAGAAACTGAAAAAACAATATAATTTACCATCGCAGCAAAAACGTTAAGATACCTAGGAATAAACTAACCAAAAAAGTAAAGGACCTCTTCACAGAAAACTACAGGTCATTGAAAAAAGAAATAGAGGAAGATATAAAAAAGTGAAAGCACATACTTTATTCATGGACTGGAAGAATTGACATCATTAAAATGTCCATACTATCCAAAGCAATCTATAGATTTGATGCAATCCCCATCAAAATACCAACGACATATTTCACAGAACTAGAACACTCCAAAAGTGTATATGGAACCAAAAAAGACCCCGAATAGCCACAGAAATCTTGAAAAAGAAGAACAAAGTAGGAGGAATCACATTACCAGATATCAGGTTATACTACAAAGCTACTATAATAAAAACAGCACGGTACTGGCACAAGGACAGACAGATAGATCAATGAAACAGAACAGAAAACCCAGAAACTGACCCAAGACAATATGCTCAATTAATATTTGACAAAGGTGGCAAGAGCATACAATGAAGTCAAGACAGTCTCTTCAACAAATGGTGTTGGGAAAATCGAACAGCTTCTTGCAAAAAAATGAAGCTAGACCACCAACTTATACCATACACAAGAATAAACTCAAAATGGATAAAAGACTTAAATGTAACTTGTGAATCCATAAAAATTCTAGAAACTGTAGGCAATAAAATTTCAGACATCATACACAGAATTTTCACTGATACCACACCTAAGGCAACAGAAACAAAAGAAAAAATGAACACATGGGACTACATCCAACTAAAAAGCTTCTGCACAGCAAAAGAAACAACCACCAAAATGGAAAGGGAACCCACCATATGGGAGACCATAACTGCCAATGATGCATCAGATAAGGGATTAATTTCCAAAATATATAGAGTACTCATACAACTCAACAAAAGGAAGACAAAGAACTCAATTAAAAAAAGGCAGAGAACCTAAATAGACACCTCTCCAAACAGGACATACAAATGGCTGAGACATATGAAAAAATGCTCAATGTCACTAATTATCAGAGAGATGCAAATTAAAACAACTGTAAGGTATCACTTCACACCTGTCAGAATGACTGTCATCAACAAATCATCAAACAACAAGTGTTGGTGAGGGTGTGGAGAAAAGGGGACTCTAGTACACTGCTAGTAGAAATGCAGACTGGTGCAGCCACTATGGAAAACACTATGGTGTTACCTCAAAAAGTTAAAAGTTGAACTGCCATTTGACCCAGTGATCCCACTTCTAGGAATATACCCTAATATACCCTAATAATATACCCTAGGAATATTGGTGTTCTGAAACACCAATCAGAAAGAATATCTGTACCCTCATGTTCATGGCAGCACTATTTACAATAGCTAAGATCTGGAAACAGCCTAAGTATCCATCAGTAGATGAATGGATAAAATAGCTGTGGTACATGTACACAATGGAATACTATGCAGCTATAAGAAAGATCTCCTATCATTTGAGATGACATGGATGGACCTGGAGAATATTATGCTAAGCAAAACAAGCCAAGCAGAGAAAGACAAATACACATGATCTCACTTATTTGTGGAATATAATGAACTAAACAAACTGATGAACAAAAGTGACCCAGAGACATAGATATAGGGTACAAACTGACAAACCCCAGAAGAGGGTATGTTGAGGGGGAAAGAGATAAACCACAGAACTTATATGCATGTATGCATAACCAATGGACATAGACAACAAAGCTGGGGAAGGGGCGAGGTTATGGGGAGGAGAGTGTCAATGGGGGGAAAAAGGAGAAACATCTGTAACAAAAACAAATTAATAAAAATAAATAAATATGCCCTGGCCAGTTTGGCTCAGCAGTTGGAGTGTTGGCCCACAGACCAGAGATGGTTGATTCCCACTAAGGGCACGTACCTCGGTTGCAGTTTGTCGCTGGCCCCGGTTGGGGTTGTGTGGGTGACAACCAGTCAATGTGTCTCTCTCACATCAATGTTTCACTCTCTCTTTCTCTTCTCTCCTCTCTCCCTCCTGCTCTAGCTGAAGATAAATGCAAGAAAATGCCCTCAGGTGAGAATTAAAAAAAAATAATATAGCTTAAATAGCCTTTTATAAACATTTTATCCAATGCCAACTCTAGCATTTAAGAGAACAGAGACAAGAATCTGTAGGTCATTATGCCAAAATGTGAATTAAGACGTACTTCAATTCGAAGAGCCAGATCCACTTGGTTGTGATAAGAATCTAAAAGTTCTTCAATAGGGTGTCTGAAATAAAGAACAATTAGTTATTGTGGCTGAAGGATACTATATACAAAAATGATTATCTTATTTACTAAAATAAATGTCTTGCTATCCAAAAGCAAAGTTTGAAAACCTGCAATTAATACCTTTTTTTTTTTTTTGCAATTTTTATTAATTTATTTTTGCTACAGATATTTCTCCTTTTTCCCCCTCCTCCTGGTCCCACCCCCCTGCAATTAATACTTTAGTTGCCACACCTTGTCATGACTTCTTTATAAGGTTTTTCTATTTGATGCAGGTATTTGTTTAAATCCACAGGTGTTTCATCATCTTCAGCCTAAACAAACATATATAACACAAATATTTACCAAAATATAAAATCCATTCTTCGGTCTTTCTATTGCCAATTTAAATATAGTTAAAATGTATGATAAATTCTTAAAACTAAAGTGATTTTTCAAAACTGAGGTTAAAATATTATCAGAATTATAAATATTATTTATAACTGACTCCAAAAAAGTGACTCAACATCCTGAAATTTTTGTTTTTTAAATGAGTAAACATAAATGTTTTTAAGTCTAGTTTCTGATTCATAAATAGCTCCCAAAGCAAAAACTACTTCTGTTCTACACACAGAGACTAGGAAGCTAAAAATACTTTTAAAGATGGCTGACAGCCAAATGAAGTAGAGTGCATTTTTTTCCTAATGATATTCAGGTTTCCCTCCACCTTATTCCCAGTAATGAAGTACTTACTGGTCTCTCCTACCATAAGTCCTTACAACACAAATATACTCAAGAATATGGTTTCTTAAGAAAGTGAAAAGAGAAGTTACCAATTATTGCTAAAATGTACTGAATTTTGTAAAATACTTTCCACCAAATTGAAATAATTTCTACCTAACATAGAAGCAAAATTTAAGAAAATAAAAGAGAAAGTAGAAATGACTGATATTTTTCCACCCCAAATTCTACCAAATGAAGAGTAATTCTCCTTAGAGATTAAAATTCATCAAGTGCATATACAGTAATAAAATGGCCTCATTCCCTGCCAGCTATTTTGCTTAAATCTCCAAAGAAAGCACTGTACTTTAAAAACACAGAATTAGTGTTCATTTGGTGAAAAATAATGTATTTTGGTTCAAAGGTCAATATGGTCATGCCCTGCCCCAAACCATACTTAGTATTCAAAATCTTTCCTTCTTCCTCATTTGTCCTTGACTAGATCCTGATGTTTTCATTCTTGTGCAAAACTACTACAAATCAAATTTTTAATCTCTCTACTTTGATGTTCAAATAGGCCTTCAGCACTGAGTAGTATGCTACCTAAAACCTCCATGATTAAAAGTCACCTGCTTCTGCTGAAAAGATTCCTGTTGAGTTAAAGAGTTCATCATTTCCAGTCCAACCCAGAAATCTTGGAGAATATACAAACTGCAAATTGGCTCATTAGCAGAATTATTCAGTTTTAACTAAATGCAATTCAATTATAAGGTAAACACTTACTGTTCTGGCCAGATTTTGGCACATTGCGCCTAAGGTCAAAAGTTGCAGTTTAATCTCTGTATCCCATTTTCGACAGTTTTGAATATGTTCATGACTTCCAAGGCAATGATTACTGTTAAAATATATTAATTATTATTCATCAATGTTATTTTCTTTAAACTAGAAATTATAGAGGTGAAAGTAAAATATAAATTGTACCTGTATCAAAAATTGAAGAGAATAGTAAAATACAGAGAGAGTTTTTTTAACCAAGTGTGAGTATTAAAATAGAGGAATAATTCTACATGAGAAGAGTCAAAGCAAAGAAAAAAGAAGATGAAGAAGAAAATAAGAAAAACAGGGACAGGACATTTTTAGTAGCCTAAAAGGATGAAATCAGTAATATAACTAACTGCCAGATGCAATAATTATCTGGTTCAGAAAGTCATATAGTTATTTCAGGTAAAAAGAAAATCACAGTTTACCACTGTGTATAAAGTAATGGTGCAGCCCTGGTCAGTTTGGCTCAGAGGTTGGAGCGTCAGCCTGTGGACCGAGAGTCCCAGGTTCGGTTCCCGCGAGGGGCACATAAGAGGGGGGGGGTGGGGAATAATAGTGCATGCTACAAAAGGAAAATAGAGTCTGTAATAAATGATGTGACTATCGACCCTTTGCAGAAAGAAAAAAAAAATTACATTTACTTATCAACTAATTGCCCACCACTCTTCCTATCTGAGACTATAAGCTTTTTATTTTTCATTTTCATTTTCCATTACTGATTTTCAAGGGGGAGGGGCAGAGTTATTGTTTCGCTTATTTATGCATTCATTGGTTGACTCTTATATGTGCCCTGACCAGGGACTGAACCCACAACTTTGGCATATTGGGACGATGCTCCAACCAACTGAGCTACCTAGTCAGGGCTGATACCATAAGCGTTTTAAGGGAAATACCATTGTCTTTTTCTTTATCCTCACCCGAGGACATTTTTGCATTTATCTTGAGATAGAGCAGGAGGGAAAGAGAGAGGGAGAGGGAGAGGGAGAGGGAGAGGGAGAGGGAGAGGGAGAGGGAGAGGGAGAGGGAGAGGGAGAGGGAGAGGGAGAGGGAGAGGGAGAGGGAGAGAGAGAGAAACATTGATGTGAGAGAGACATATCAAAGACACATCAACTGGTTGCCACCCACACAACCCTAACCAGGGCTGGGGATAAACTGCAACCGAGGTATGTGCCCTTAGCAGGAACCGAACCTGGGCCTCTCTGGTCCGCAGGCCAACATTCTAACTGCTGAGCCAAACTGGCCAGGGCACCATGTCTTAATCATCTCTGAAATCCCTCCATTGTCTTAGACATGATTTCTTAGACAAAGTATATCTTGATACAAGTTGATTAATACAATGAATCAATTCATTTAAGACCCAATGTATTTTGGAATTACAAAATGAACTTGAAACTTTTCTAATTTAAGCTGTTAAAAATGTAATTTCCAATGATGTTGCTCAGTAATTAAATAAATAAACTTACTTCTGCAGCACTTCCTCTTGACCACAAACTTTCAAAACATAGCTGCCAACATCAACTTCATTCAAGTCATCATGCACCCAGCAAAGGGCTTGCATTATAATGATTTCTACAGTAGAACTCACTGTAAAAGAGTTAGTCATCATTTTCATTTTGCTGATTTAAGTCTAAGTATACATTTATTCAGATTGTATTTCTTATCATCTAAGACAGCACTATGCAGTAAAAATAAAATGCAGGTCACATGTATAATTTAGAAATGTCTAGTAGATACAACAAAAAAAGTAAAAAGAAACAGGTGAAGCTAAGTTTAATGTTTTACTTCATCTAAAATACCATTTCAACCTATAATCAGGAGTTTTAAATTTCTGATGAGATATTTTACATTCTCTTCAATTAAGTATGTGAAATCCAGTGTGTATTTTATACTTAGAGCACATCTCAATCTATTAGTCAAGTTTCAAGTGCTCAATAACCACATGCAGGTAGTGGTTAACTATATTAGGGCAGATCTAAGCTAAAAAAGCCACCTCCCTATTATAGACACTTCCAAGAAGAATGACATTTAGCAATATCTAGCAAATAATGATTTATATCACATCATAAGGGAAAGAATTACCATTTTAAATGTTTGACATTTGCCTCATAAATCTTCCGATAAAGAATAAAAATCTAACATGTAGGAAGTATTGTTCAATTACTCTGGGCAATAGCTGGATACTGAGATTACAACACGTTAAAACTAAGGTAACCTTTAAAGTAACCTATTTCTATACTTCAAACTCCTATGTTCAATTTAGAAGACATTGATTACATTCAAACCTCATGAAAATTAACAGCTTGGCAGAAAAGGCCATAAAACCTCTAATATAATGGCTACATTTCTGAATAGGCAAATTATGGTAATATTTATAATTTGAACAAACCATTTGTACCATAATATGGTTGCATTTCTTAACAGAGATGTGCATTATAAATGTGCACATTTATGAAGCACCAAATAGGCATTTGAAAATTTTTAAGCAATCAGATCTTGACATAGCCAAGTCAAAATCGGATACAAATTAAAACATTTGTTATCAGTGTGTAAGCATTGATGCTCATGCTTATTTCAATCAAAAGGTCTATTGTCTTTTTTCCTTTAGTTTTAGTATTAATTCTTACCGCATACTTAGATTTAAATGATTCCGCAAACCAAAATGTGAAATATATTTAAAAAGAATTCTTCCTTTAGAAACTAAAAGAATGACTGCTTATAATTGAGTAATATTTTTGTTTCAGATTATATTTTTCAAAGGGCCTTGAAAAGTACAAAGCTACAAAGAAAGTATCCAAATATTGGACACATTCCTAGTCATAACCATTAAAGAAAAAAAATGGCATAATTTTTAGGCCAAAGTACTATAGAAATAGAGGATCTTATTCTACTGCTGAAGCTCATTACAATAATGTACACTGTGAAAAGCAATAAACTATATAAAAAATAAATAAAAGTAGTTTTTAAACTTAAAACAAAAAATTTCCTACAGACTTGGGGATACATCTCTAGAAAGGATACCCATATCAAATTTCTAAGACTTATAACTAAAGGAGAAATAACTTCTCCTTAGAGCAGCGATTCAAACTGGTATGCTGTAAAAAATTTTAAAACGTGCAATTCCTGACTATTTAGTTAGAGGCACTGACTTCTTTCCCCTTAGATTATCAAATAAAAAAAGGACAATAGCCAACATTATAGCCAACTGGTATAAATGAATCAAAATTATAATTATTATTTTTTGTCAAATTTGCAAAAATTATATTTTTGGTGTGCCATAGAATTTTAGTAGTTAGGTTATGTGTGCCATGAGATGAAAAGGGTTGAAAATCACTGCCTTGGAGGAGCTTAGCAAGATAAATGGAATTTCAATCTCACTGACAGCTTTTTATAAACAACCATGCTTCTTGCCATAAAACAAAAAAAGAAAATAAAGAATCGGACTTTCTATTTAATTAGCTACCTATTTATTGGCCTTTTTATCTAATGTTTTGAGGCCTTGGCCAAGAGCCACTGATTAACCAAAGTTGCTCAGCATTTTTCAGAGAAATATGTACAGTAGTTACAAAGGTAAACTGTTTTCCCACTGATCCTAACCAGGAAAGTATTCAAACAAAATGTCAAGTTTTTGAAAAGGATAACTAATGAATGTTAAGTATTTCAACATAATTTTTTAAAAGGATACTAATAACAGAGTTGGTTTCTTAAGAGAAAGAAAATTATGAGCATTTTAAACATTTCCTCTCTAAATCAGAGCAAAACAGGATGGTTGGGGAACTATAAACCTACCATCACATGTAAAAGTAACCGGTAGTTGAAATCCTTCAATTTCAATGGAGACCTTCACGCTAGTATTTTCTCCACATATGTTTCTTTGCACTGTGACTGGACTTAACAAATAGCCTGGATTTGTGCAATGATCGGTATGTGGAAAGTTGGTCTTCAATCTGTTCACAAGGAAGAAGAAATTAAATTCTTTTTTTAAAAGCTGCATTTATTTGAGCCTTGAACAATGCTTTGCATGCTTACAGCTATTCAATTCTGTGCCTTTGTTCAATTCTAAAGCAGCTCATGAGAACTGCAATGAATGGAACCCTGTCAAAACTCCAAATACCAGCATTTGCCTTTTAAATCAAAGGACTCCAAGGAAAGAAATTAAGTACTGCCAGGATATCTTTGGTAACATTATCAACATTAACCAAGCACACACTGAACACATGGCACTAAATGAGGTGCTCTTCTTCAGATTCTTTGCTACATAATAATTATACAAAATGGTACATTTTTTACTAATACTGATAATATGGGTGATGCAGTACTACACTAACTGCCAGAAGAATAAAAAGTTTGTTGTTTTGCCCTGGCTGGTTTGGCTCAGCGGTTAGAGAGTTGGCCCAAGGACCAAAGAGTTAAAGGTTTGATTCTGGTCAAGGACATGTACCTCAGATGTGGTTTGATCCCTGGCCCTGGTCAGGGTCATGCAGGAGGCAAGCAATCAATGTATCTCTCTCACATAGATGTTTGTTTCTCTCCCTCCCTCCCTCCCTTCCTCCCTCTCTCTGAGAATCAATAGAAAAATATTCTTGGGCGAAGATAAAAAAAAAAGTTTGTTGTCTTTCAAAATTATTTTTTCTAAGATTCTTTTTCCTAGACATGGTTTCTAGTTGTTAGACAATGGTTAAAAAACAAACAAACATAGAAAATGGGTTTTATAGTACTATAAGGCCTTTATTTCCTCAAAGGAATGGTAAGAATGGCCCGTAAAAGTACCCATAGCATTCATAGATATTCAGAGGAACAATATAGTTTTTTTGTTGTTGTTGTTAATCCTCACCTGAGGATATTTTTTTTTTAGATAGAGTGGAAGGGAGGGAGGGAGGAAGAGAGAGAGAAACATCAATGTGAGAGAAGGACATCAATTGGTTGCCTCCCGCATGACCCTGACCAGGACTGGGGATCAAACCTGCAACCCAAGTACATGCTCTTGACCCGGAATCAAACCCTCAACCCTTTGGTCTGCGGGCTGACCCTCAAATGGCTGAGCCAAACCAGTCAGAGCCAGAGGAGTAATATCATTTAAATTTAAATACATAAGCATGGTGTATGGCTCATATCCAGACAGTACTTCTGTTATCAGAAGACAAAAGAGAGGATATGATGCCTTCTTTAAACTAAGGGGCTTCTTTTAACTTTTTTCTGGAGGTTAAAAGACAAGTTTCAATCTTCCAAATTGCTTTTTCACAGAAATGTAAATAGAATGAATACTGGAAGTGTTGTCTATTTGCTTCTGTAGAGATTAAAATAATCAAGTCACAGGAATAGAATAAAACAGTTTGGGCTAACAGAAAGAAAGGTTCTGGGAGGCAACAAGTATAACAGTTTGTGCACAACCTCTAGAGCCAGTCAACCTGAGCTTAAATCCTGATTTTACAACTTCCTAGATGTGTAACCTTAGGCAATATTATTGAATCTCCTTTTTGCTTCAGTTTCCTCCTCTATAAACTAAGGATTATTACTACTAACCTCATAGGGTTACTGTGAGAATTATGTGAATTAAGTAATTAAAACACTCAGAACAGGGCCTAGTATATGGAAAGTACTCTATGTACTGTCAGATAGATGAAAATAAATAAATGAAAAAAGTGAATGAGTAAATCTGGTTTCTACACTATGATCATGAGGGCCACAAATGATTTCATCATTAAAAAGAAATGAAATTGAAAACAAAAGGTAATGTAAGTAATAAAATTAAATTGATATTGGAAATGCACCCTTAGATGCAGACACATTATCTTCAGATATTTGATTGCTGACAAGCTTACTCCTCTGCCACACAATGTCAAGATCTTTATAGGACCCAGCCTAAGATTTTTTTTCTTAATAATCCTTACCCAAGGATACTTTTCCATCTATCTTCAGATAGAGTGGGAGTGGGGGAGGGAGAGAAGGGGTGGGAGGAGAAGGAGAGAGAGCAAGAGACAGATACACAGACAGACACATTGACTGGTTGCCTCCCGCATGACCAGGGATGGGGACCTAACCACAACCGAGGTACATGCTCTTGACCAGAATTGAACCTGAGACTCTGATCTGCAGGCTAACTCTCCAACCACTGAGCCAAACTGGCTAGGTTAAGATTTTTTTTTTATTCTACTAATTTTAAAGAGAGAGGAAGGGACAGAGAGGAGAAAAACATCAATTTGGCCTTCCACTTATTTATGCATTCACTGGTTGCTTCTTGTACATGCCCTAATCAGGGACTGAACCAACCTGGCATATCAGGATGATGCTCTAACCATCTGAGCTACCTGGCCAGGGATGACCTAGCCTAAGATTCTTATTGTTCTGCACATATTTGGTATTTTCTTGTTTTCTACGGTATGAATAAAATAGATATTCACAGCAAATCATATAATTAACTAATATATGAAGTGGTATAGAATTTTGCCTACAGTTAAGCAAGTTTTTGATTTTCAGAAATCTTTAACGATGATAAAAGGAAAATCAGAAATTCCTTATGACAGCTCAGAAAGCAAGAATTTATTAGACAAAAATTCCAGTGATAAAAACTGTATTCAATGAACTTGACTTGGGTAGGGAATAATTTCCTTTTCTTAAAATAAGTCCTTTTTTTAATACAATAATGTGAATGTACTTAATGTCACAGAACTGTATGTGTAAAAATGGTTAAAATAGTAAATTTTATGTCATGTATATTTTAGTACAAAAGAAACAGGTTTTTATAATGAGCCATTTTTCTCTCTGCTTGACATCATAGAAGATAGTCCAGAAAAATACAGTAATTTTCACTTTTTTTTTCTTTTTTCATTGACATTGGTTAATAAAATTTTTTAGATTTCAGAATACAATACTATAATACATCATCTATATACTGCCTTGTGTGTTCACTACCCCTAGCTAAGTCTCCTTCTATCACCATTTATCCCTCCCACAGTAATTTTGTTTTTCTATAAAATTGATAATTTCTTCTATTATTATGGTTTTGTCTGCTTTACAAGAACTTTGGGAAAAAACTAAAGTGGTAACAGATTCTTTAAAGTTGGGCTTTTTGGCCCGGCTGGTGTGGCTCAGTGGTTGAGCATCGACCCATGCACCAAGAGGTCGCCAGTTCGATTCCCAGTCAGGGCATATGCCCAGGTAGTGGGCCCAATCCCCAGTTGGGGGCGTGCAGGAGGCGGCCAATCAATGTTTTCTCTCATAGATGTTTCTATTTCTCTCTTACTCTCACTTCCTCTCTCTAAAATCAATAAAGAAAAATAATTTAAAAAAAAAGAAGTTGGGCCCTGGCCAGTTTGGCTCAGCAGTTAGAGCGTTGGCCTGCGGTCCGGAGAGACCCGGGTTCGGTACCCGCTAAGGGCGTGTACCTCGGTTGCAGTTTGTCCCCGGCCCTGGTTGGTCGTGTGGGTGGCAGCCACTCGATGTGTCCCTTTAGCGTCGATGTTTTTCTCTCTCTCTCTCTCTCTCTCTCTCCCTCCCACTCTATCTGTACAAAAAGTGGAAAAATGTCCTCGGGTGAGGATTAAAAAAATAAAAATAAAAAAAAATAAAAAATAAAACTCAACAACAACAAAAAAGAAGTTGGGCTTTTTGTTTTATGTTGGTAACTAAACACACAAAATCAAATTAAATGAGTAAACTGATAAATGCTGAGTAAAGCATTCATTTTCAATATAATAAACTATATAAGGTATTTTTATGGACACTTTAAGCCTACATAGCTTGATATTCTTAAGCAATTACCTGTAAAGAGTCTTTTTTAAACTTCGATTTTCTTTTTCTCTAAAATTTCCATTTCCCTATTACCAGCAAAGAAACAGCTTTGTTTTTCTTTTAAATATGTTTCTTTTGCTTTTTTAGACAGAAAACAAGGGACAGATAGAAAAATCAATGTGAGAAAGAAACATTTATCAGCTGTCTCCTGAATGCACCCTACTGGAGATCAATCCCACAACCCAGGCAAGTGCCCTGAACTGGAATCAAACTGGGACTTCTCAGTCCATGGGACAATGCTCAATCCACTCAGCCACAATGGTCAGGTTGTTTGTTTAAAGTGGCTCTACATTTTGGGAAATTTAATATCTTTATGCATACAGTAAAATCTTTTACAGTTTACTTTCCTACTATGTGTTTGGTCAAGCTAAAATTACATATAGACAGAGCCAAATCATGCAAAATCAAAAGGATGGAGAGATTAAAGTGAGGGGTCACAGGTCCTATTCCCAGTCAGGGTACATGCCAATTGGGGGTGTGAGAGAGGTGGCTGATTGATGTTTCCCTCTCTCTCTCTCTCTCCCCGTTCCTCTCTCTCTAAAATAATCAATAAAAACATTTTTAAAAGTTAAAGATAAAAATAAGGGCCTAAATGGAATGTCACTTTACAGAAAAGTATAGACTCAGAGTTGATTAAAATAAAATTAACTAAATGCAGAGGTGCAGTTATTGAAAACATATAGGCAGTCCTTGGGGTCAAGACACTATTATCAAGATGGCGGAGTAGGTAAAAGTGGTATCGTGTCCTCCCACAACCACATCAAAGTTACAACTAAACTACAGAACAACCATCATTCAAAACCACCTGAAATCAAACTGAATGGAAGTCCTACAACTACTAAATTAAAGCAGCAGCCACATCCAGACTGGTAGGAGGGGCGGTGGCGTGACGGGCTGGTGCCACACCCAAGTGTGGCGGATAAAAATCAGGAGGATACCTCGGCTGGGAAGGTCCTTCCTGAGGACTGAGGGGTCCCTGTCCCACACCAGGTGCCCTGCTCAAGGTTCCAGTGCCAGGAAGAGAAGTCCCCATAACTTCTGGCTGGAAAAACCAGCGGGAACTGAGGCTCGAGGAAGCGGAGGTGGCTGGAGCCCCAGGCAGCTCCTTAAAGGGCCCGCGCGCACGAGAGACATACAGGGAAGAACTGAGCTGTTTGGGGCACTGGAGTGAGGGCTGGAGAGGGGGCTTTCTCCGGGACAAACGTGCTGTCAGAGGCCTTTGTTCCTTTGGTGAGCCCTTCCCGGGGTCGGCAGACAGCAGCCATATCTGGGACTCCAGCAACCCGGCTCACACTGGTAGCCCTGCCCTGGTGACTCCCTGAGGCCCCGCCCCACCCCGCCCAACTTTCAAGCCCACCCAAGCTGTTGCCACTTGCTTAACCATAGGATTGGCCTGTCTTGGATCCTGCTTCAGGTTTTTCCTAAATTCTTTCAAACGAGCAGCATCTGGTCTCAGCTAGCCCCATACCTCTCGTTAAGTAACACACAGAAACAAACACAGGGAGGCAGCCAAAATGAGGAGACAAAGAAACAGGTCCCAAATGAAAGAACAGAACAAAACCCTAGAAAAGAACTAAGCGAAATGGAGATAAGCAACCTAACAGATGCTGAGTTCAAAATACTGCTTATAAGGATGCTCAATGAACTTAGTGAGAACCTCAGTGAACTTAGGGAGGGCCTCAAGAGCATAAAAGAGGACCAGTCAGAAATCAGGAATACACAGTTAGAATTGAAGGAGGCATTAACTGAAATAAAGAATAATTTACACAGCTTCAATAATAGAGTATGTAAATCCAAGGAGCAAACCATCGATTTGGAATATAAGGAAGCAAAAAATGCCCAATCAGAACAGCAAAAAGAAATCAGAATCCAAAAAAATGAGGATAGTGTAAGGAGCCTCTGGGACAACTTCAAGCGTGCCAACATTCGCATCTTGGGGGTGCCAGAAGGAGAAGAGAGAGAACAAGAAATCGAAAACCTGTTTGAAACAATAATGGCAGAAAACTTCCCAGACTTGGTGAAGGAAACAGACATACAAGTCCAGAAAGCACAGAAGAGTCCCAAACAAGATGAACCCCAAGAGGCCCACACCAAGACACATCATCATCAAAATGCAAAAGGTTCAAGACAAAGAGAGAATTTTAAAGGAAGCAAGAGAAAGGCAGCTAGTTACCTACAAGGGAGTTCCCATTAGGCTGTCAGCTGATTTCTCAAAAGAAACTATGCAGGCCAGAAGGGAGTGGCAAGAAATATTCAGAGGGATGAAAAGCAAGAACCTACAACCAAGATTACTCTATCCTGCAAAGCTGTCATTTAGAATCGATGGACATATAAAAACTTTCCCAGACAAGAAAAAGTTAGAGGAGTTCGTCACCACCAAACCGTTATTATATGAAATGATGAAGGGTCTTTTTGAAGAAAAACATAAAATGTATAAACAAACAAAATGGCAATGAATACATATCTATCAACAATGGAATCTACAAACAAAATGAACAGGTAGAACAGAAACACTCTCATAGATACAGAGAACATTTTGTTCGTTGCCATTTGGGAGGGGGGTTGGGGGAATGGGTGAAAAAGGGTAAGGGATTAAGAAGTACAAATTCATTGCTAGACTGACAAACCTCAAAGGGAAAGGGGTTGGGGGGTGGGAAGAAATAAACCAAAGAACTTATATGCATAACCAATGGACACAGACAATAGTGTGGGAAAAGGTGGGAGGGGAGCGGGAGTGGGGAGGAGGGGGTCAATGGGGGAAAAATGTGGAACATCTGTAATACATTTTACATCCAACAATAAAGATTAAAAAAAAAAAAAGACACTATTATAGAATATAAATATTAGATCTGAACCATATATGAAGAAAATAAATACAAGGCTACTGAAAATGGAAAGTCTAAAGTGTAGTTTCTCATCATATTCTAGGAAACCACAAAAGCAGCAGCAAAAACGTCTACTGGTACCTAATGTTCCTCTAAGAACATTCTCTGAACTGATAGCTAGTAGATACAGCAAGCTTTGTCAATTAATGTTGAGTGTGAAAGAAGAAAACAAAAAATGAAAACCACTGCCTGGCTGGTATGGCTCAATAGTTGAGCGTCGACCGGCACCGAGAGGTCACTAGTACGATTCCCAGTCACGGCACATGCCCAGGTTGTGGGCCCAATACCCAATGGGGGGCATGCAGGAGGCCGCCAATTGATGTTCTTCCTCCCTCCCTCCCTCTCTATCTGAAGATAAACAGAAAAATATCCTCAGGTGAGGATCAAAAAAAAGGTAAAGAGAAACAGTTTTGCCTAGCTGGTATTGCTCAGTGGATTGAGTGTCCTCCCATGGACTGAGAGGTCTCGGTTCAATTCCTGGTCAGGGATCATGCTGGGGTTTCAGGCTCGATCTTCAGTAGGGGGCATGCAGGAGGCAACCAATGGATGAATTTCTCTCACATAGATATCTCTTTCTCTCCCTCTCTCTCTAAAAAATCAATAAGAATATACTTTTCAATAACAACCCCTCCCCCCACCGTGGCAATCCACTTTCCCTTCTTTTTTTTAAATTTATTTTTCATCCTCACCCGAGGACATTTTTCCATTTTTTGTTCAGATAGAGTAGGAGGGAAAGAGAGAAACACTGACGTGAAAGGGACGTGGCTGCCTCCCGCATGACTCAACCAGGGATGGGGACAAACTGCAACCGAGGATGCGCCCTTAGCGGGAACCGAACCTGGGTCTCTCTGGACCACAGGCTGCCGCTCTAATTGCTGAGCCAAACCGGCCATGGCCACTTTCCCTTCTTTTGATAACATATCTCATCCCCCTAGCCACAATGTTTGTTGTTTCACTTTTTCCCTTCCATGGGTTTTTTTCTATCTAGTGCTGGCTGAGAGGTCTCCCTTTTGTCTTTGCTAGCAAGACATTTAGAATATGAAATCTAACCTATAAGTGGCTATATTTCCTGCCTTCAAAACACCATCTGCAGTATAAGAAAATGAAGCCAACATGCATGCAGAAAGAACAGGGGGAGAAAAGACAGACAGAAGGATAGAAAATGGGAAAGAGTCCGGCTGGTGTGGCTCAGTGGTTCAATGTCAACCCATGCGCCAAGAGGTCATTGGTAGTCAAAATATATCACTGGTTAAGATTTTTTTTTAAATTCTTACCCGAGGACATGTTTAGAGAGAGAAACATCAATGTGAGAAACATTGACAGGCTGTTTGTCTCTCACACACGCCCCCACCAGGGATTGAACCCACAACCTGGGTATGTGCCCTGACTGGGAATCAAATCCACCACCCTGTGGTGTACGGGATGATGCTCCAACCAACTGAGCCACATCGGCCAGGACAGGATTCCCAGATGTTATAAAAGCAAAATACAGCCCTGTCCAGTGTGGCTCAGTTGGCCAAAACATCATCCTACACACATGCTCAGGTTGTGGGCCTGATCCCCAGTGGGGGTCATGTGGGAGGCGGCTAATTGATGTTCTCTCTCATTGCTGTTTCTCTCTCTCTCCCTCTCCCTTCTTCTATCTCTAAAATCAATAAAGCAAAAACAAAAAAGAAAAAGAGAGTCCAAAGGGAGGGATCCTTACAGTGTTTGAATTCCCGGATCTGACTGTCACTTAGCACTGTCCCATCCTTCCTCTTTCTGTTGTATGGGTTTGTGAACCAATATATAACCTTTCTTGATTGAAACTAGTTTAAGATGGGTTTCTAGTATGCATAATGGAATTCTGGCGAATACAGTGATGTGATAGAAAGAAAACACACTGAACGAGAGGCAAAGAAAATCTGGCAGACAAGCTGAGTAAGCTTTGGTAGGAACTTTCCTGAGTCTCAATTTTTTCATCTATAAAGAATATTAGATTTAAGATTAAAATTTTCAAAATGCATTTTCTCACCTTTAGAAAATATATTTACTCCTCTAGTCATGCCTGTTATTTCTTAAGTATGACAGTATTTTGAATGATAGAAAAGTATGTGGCAAAACTAAGTGTCCCTAAAACAAAAAGAAGGCATATCGAAGTGTACTGAAACTTGAACGTTTAAGCCACATTTTCACTGGTTAATAGAATATAAGGGATCTATTGTGTGACTTCAATTTTTCTTCTAAATACTCAGAAATCTCACAGATAATATAGGTTCAACTGTAGTTTGTTACTGTGCCAATTGAAATTTAAAGCCACAGGGAGAAAACAATTAAAAATTTAAAATTTTTAGAATTATTAGCATTAAACTAATTTTCAAACAAGCATTTAACAAAAAATAATCTTTAACTTATAAAGAAAAATTCCTTACTTTGTAATGGATTGACAAAATGCTGCCACTTCCTCGTTTTGTACTTCAATTTCTTGTAGAAGAGAACTTCCAGTTGGCAAACTACTGGTCCCATTTGGGTCTTTCTGTAATCAAAAAAGTGTTTTTATTTTAAAAGTAAAAAATCCCCAAAATGCTAAGTAGCAAAATAACACAAACGCATTTTTACAAAAATAGGTACAAAGATATGGAGGTAAAATAAATCATATCAATAACAAAGTTTTAAATTACTGACTTCTCTATCCATACAAGTAATGCCAACTTAAGCTTTATTTTTAAAGTTCATTGGTTTTATTTGCTCAAAAGTAGAAATATGCTATTTCATGTATTGGTCAGTAAGAATGGAATGCTAAAGACATTTCCATTCAAAATCTTCGTGCAATGAACAGGAAGTTAATAGCTGAATGAAATTAAAGGACTAGCCCATTTGAGACTCCCCTAATAAACCAGGAATTCCAAATGCAGGGTGGGGCGAAAGGAGGTTTACAGTTTTGAGTACATGAAATACAGAGTTTATTCTTGTATTATTATTTATTAATCACTGTATTATCTTCCATACAAACAACAGTAAACCTACTTTTGCCCCACCTAAAATTCCAACAAAGCAGCTGGTTCTTTATGTAAGACGGCCTTGAATGAGTTCTAGGAGTTAGTGGGTATTTTCTATGTTAATAAACTTACGCAAACAACCTGATAGTCCATCAAAAGTTGAGTTTATGTCTGATCAAAATTTGTGTGTAACACTTAGGAGATAAATTTACCACCCAAGCAAAGCCAAATAGCAGAGTTCATATGTAGAAGCATTTTATTTACAACATAAAAATACTTAATTTGGCACAAATTTCAAATGTAAATTTCCATTAAAATTAGAATTGGAACATTCACAATTCAAAATTAAGTGAATCAGAACACAGTGTATAAATGTCAAGAGTTATAATGAATTTCAATGAACATTTTGTCAGAAAATTAAACTGGAAACTTAAGGCAATAGTTCCTTTAAGAATTTTCTTCTTTTATTTATTTATTTTTATTTTTTTAGAGAAAGAAGAAGGAAGAGAGAGATAGAAACACTAATGTGAGAGAGAGAAACATCAACTGACTGCCTCCTGCACGTCCCCTACTGGGGATCCAGCCGACAACCTGGACATGTGCCCTGACCAGGAATTGAACTGGGACTTCTCAGTCCATGGGACAACACTCAATCTACTAAGCCACACTGGCTGGGCAAGAATTTTCTTCTTTAAAACATGGCAGAGCCCTTTCTGCTGGAATGTGATATGCACATTTGGGGATGAAAACAAACAAACAAATCTTGAGTTCCAGAACATCGCATCTAAAAATAACAAAGCTTATGAGAAAAATAGTTAAGGCAGATTACTCAAAGTCAGTGTAACTTTATAATCAAGGCTCCAACCTACACAATAAAAAAAAAGTATAAAAACACTAGCACAGTTATGTCTCCACTTGAATTTGCACCTAGAATTATGGTCTCTGAACCTTAAACCCTGGAGCTCCTGCTTCCTGACTTGTGATAATGGATTCTTGAGGGCATTTGCTTCTAGCCAACCAACTGAAATTAAAAATATTATCTAGGATATATATTTCAACAACAACAAGGTTCTTAATGTAAAGGAAATGTCTTCACAGCTTCTTTGTCTGTACTAACTGCTTCACCAGAGAGTTTAACACTGGTGGAATATGAAACCAATCTTAGAGCTATTCATCCAACCACCATTTTTACTAAATAACACTTCTGCAGGATTTTCAGTGTTTTCCTTAATATTTTCTTATATTACTAATACTTTCTTCTTAATTGGGAGAACGTTTGTTCTTGATTGCTTTAGTAAGTTCTGTAATTTGTTTTTTTTTTAATCCTCATTTGAGGACATTTTTCCATTTTTTGTACAGAGTGGGAGGGAGAGAGAGGAAGAGAGAAAGAGGGAAACATCGATGTGAAAGGGACACATCGAGTGGCTGCCACCCGCACGACCAACCAGGGCCGGGGACAAACTGCAACCGAGTTACATGCCCCTAGCGGGAACCGAACCCGGGTCTCTCTGGACCGCAGGTGGACACTCTAACCGCTGAGCCAAACTGGCCAGGGCTGTTCTTGATTGCTTTAAAATGTTAATATGCTGGTAGAGATGTGTGAACTAATGCTACTTTCCCATTATACTGACATCAATCTTATATTTACCAATTACATCAGTTAATTTGTGATATAGAAACAAGCACTGAGCAAACAGATCATACTACTCTAAAACTCAGATTTGATGTTTCTAACAAATCCTTGGTCTGACACTTCAATCTAATCCAATCATGTTTCTGAGAACTTCCTAAATGATTTCTGTGTTCCAGTTAGCTTGAATCATATCCTGTTCCTTTTAAAAAAAAAAAATTTGTTTCCCTTTATTAATTTTTAGAGAGAGAGGAAGGGAGAGGGAGAGAGAGACAGAAACATCACTAAGAGAGAACATCAACTGACTGCCTCCTGCATGCCCCTCATTGGGGATTTGGCCCACTACCTGGGCATGTGCCCTGACTGGGAACTGAACTGGCAACCCTTTGGTGCATGGGTCGATGCTCAACCACTGAACCACACCAGCTGGGCTCCATTCCTAATATAACACAAATGAGCTATCCTGCCCTCGGAAACTTTGTCTTCATTACCTTCCACCCAAATTTCCCTCATAAGTGTAAAACCTATTCATTTTAGGGCCCAACAGAATGCCACTTCTTCTATAATGCCTTTTTATAATTACTCAGTATGAAGCAATTCTTCCCTCCTGGCATTTTTAAAACTACTTAGTCTGAACCAAACACCGTATCATTACATCCTGTTTAATATTTGACTTAATGTAAAAGCTCCTTGAGGATAAAAATCAACCCAGCAAGTGTGGCTCAGTAGTTGAGCGTCAACCCACGCACCAAGAGGTCACCAGTTTGATTCCTGGTCAGGGCACATGCCCAGTTTGTAGGTCTGATCCCCAGTGGAGGACATACAGGAGGCGGTCAATCGATGTTCTCTCTCATCAATGTTTCTCTCTCTCTTTCCTTCTCCCTTCCTCTCTCTAAAATCAATAAAGAAATAAAATATTTTTTAAAAAGATAAAAATCAAATTTTACTGAACTTTATATTTTTGTAGAACTTTTTATATCCAGTTCAGAAGGCACGCAAACCATTGGTTCAATTTGTTGAATGTTTTTCTCCCTCTAAACATAAGTTAAAATTCACTTACCACCTCACAGCCATTAGGATGGCTACTATTAAAGAAAAAACAGAAGACATGTGTTGGTGAGGATGAAAAGACAACAGAACCTTATGCACTGTTGGTCGTAATGTACAATGGTACAGCCAGTATGGAAAAACAGTATGGTGGTTTCCCAAACAATTAAAAATAGAACTACCATATAACTCAGCAATTTCATTTTGGGGTATATACTAAAAAAACCTGAGAGCAGTTCTTGAAGAGATATTAGTACACCCCTGTTCAAAGCAGCTTTTTTTGCAATGGCTAAAATGTGGAAGCAACCCAAGCATCCATCAACAGATGAATGGATCAGCAAAAGAAATATATACCCACAATTAAATATTATTTGGCCTTAAAAAGGAAATTCTGCACTATGCTACAACATGGATAGACCTTGAAAACATTATACTAAGTGAAATAAGCTAGTTACACACCCAAAAATACTGTATGGTTCCACTTACATGAGGCAGAGTATTCAAAAACCATAAAGTCAAAAGGTATAATGGTGGTTGCCAGGAGCTTGGGGAAGGAAGAAGGGGAAATTGCTGTTTAATGAGTATAGAGTTTCAGTTTTACAAGATGAAAAGAATTATAGGGATTAATGGTGGTAATGGCTGCACAAAAGTATACATGTATTTAATACCAATGAACTGTAATATTAGAAAAGGCCAAGATGGTAAATTTTGTTATGTGTATTTTACTGCAGTCAAAAATATATCCAGAAATTACTGAGCATTTATTAGATGTTAGGCTCTGCTGTAAGAAATTTACTAGTAGGTATGTATGTATTATTTATTTCTAACAAAGCCCTAGTAGGTGGGTACTATTATCCCCATTTTACAGATAAAAAATGAAGCACAGAGAAGTTAATTAACTCACATAAGGTTACACAACTAATATATTCAGTCAGAATTTCAACCCAGATAGCCCAGCTTCAAAATCACATCCTTAATCACCATGCCATTCTACCTCTCAAAAGTCTCTTTAAAAAACAACAAAAACTGCAATGAGAAAAACAACATGTGTGACCTTTGCAGGAGCAATGTTATAGAAAACCTCTATTTTTGCTCGACCCAATAATCACTTTTCCTTCTTTAACTGTTTAGCATGTTTCACTTATTAACAGATTTTAAATCTCCTTAGTGACATTTCTAGATTTTTAAAAAATCAAAATGCTGCATTTTCTACAGTGCCATTCACGAAATTAGTTCCATCCTTTCAAGCATGTTATAAGTTTCAACTGACAGTAACAAAAATAGATTATAATAACTAATACTCTAGTCATACATTAAGGTAATAATAAACTCTGGAAAGTTAACTCAAAAGTTCTGTCCACAAAGTAAAAAATAGCTGGGCTTGCCCAGGCAATGTGGTTCAGTGGGTTGAGCATCATCTCATGGACTGAGAGGTCCCAGTTCGACTTCTGGTCAGGGCACATGCCAGGGTTATGGGTTAGATCCCCAGTGGGGGGCATGCAGGAGGTGGCCAATCGATGTTCTCTCTCATCGATGTTTCTGTCTTTCCCCCTCTCTCTCCCTCTAAAAATCAATAGACAAAAAATAAAATTAAAAATAGCTGGGCTGCCAATGATTTGTCTCACACATTAACATTAGCGTGTTTTTTTTGTTTGTCTCCCATCTCTCTTAAAAAAAAAAAAAAATTTTTTTTAAATTGTACACCTAGTCCCTCAGCTCTCGTCCCTAATCCCTCTCAACTCCATTCAAACCTAAGCATCAAAGCATCTCTTTTCTCCACTGATCTTAACACTTTTATGTGGCGCTCAAGGCTTTCTATTTTGTACTGCAATTACAAGCACACACATCCTGTCCTTCTCT